TTCTGCCTAAGCTATGTGGTACAATTAAAACAGACAGCATCGGTACCACACTTTTAATCAGTGTTTGTAAAATCGATCCGAACCGATCCAGTCGAGCGGTAAAATCGGGACTCAGCCATCGGCTCGGCTCAGTTCAGTCAAAAAGTCGCAACCGGTGAACTGGCCGGTAGGTGAACGGTTCGACCGGTTAACCGCTCGAGCCGTTCAAAACGTCTGACCGGTTTTCACCATTCCACCAGCCCAATAAAAATGAATCTAGTCGCGTCGCCGCCTGGGGTTTGGATTATATACTGGAAATTTGACTCAAAACTGGAATAGAGAGAGAGAGAGAGAGAGAGAGAGAGAGAGAGAGAGAGAGAGAGAGAGAGAGAGAGAGAGAGTGAGAGGGGTTGATAAATGGAAGGGGTTGAGAGAAGAAAAGGGATCGTGAGATGGTGAGAGAGAGAAGTGATAGTTTGAGTTGGGGACGTGAGGGAGGGTGGGAGAGAAGAAGATTCTTCTTCTGTGAAAAATGGAGTAGCAGCGGAGAAAGATGAAGGAGTGGGGTTGGGGTATTAGGGTTTCTTTTTAAATATATACACTAAAGGTAAATTGCTTTATAGTACTCACTATTAAAACATAAGTTAAATCGATCATCAAACTTTCAATTTATCACATTATATGTTTATATTTTTCAAATTATACTTAATGTTTTTGTTTATTAGCTACCGATTTATTAACGGTTTGTTATCGGTCTAATACTGGTTAAACCAGTAAAGAGTGAAGCGTTCACTATATCGATTCATACATCGGTTCGGTTTTGACAACATTGCTTTTAATAGGGGTAGTAATTAGTATAAGCATCGTTTCATTGGGTTGTTAATTGTTAGATCCGGGGATATTAATAGAGTGGGCTTCGGTTTGGCTCAAATCTCGCTGGGCCACGTTAAACCAAAGAATTTCATCCTGGCCCACTAGCTCTCTCTTGTTCTGGATTCCAGTCTGTTGCGCGTTGCCTCTGCCCTCTCTCTCTCTCTCTCTACCTTTCCTATCTGGCTTCCGTTCTTCGCTGGGAGAAGAACACATTGCAGTTTACACCCGACATCATTCGGGAACTCCGAACGTCGAACCTGACCGAATCAACAAAACTTGCAGCTTTGCCAGACACCTGGAATGGCGACTGCAAGATATGATGTGAGCCTGCTTCCAATCCTAGCTCTTGCTCTGTCGTCATCTTTGTGGACCGTGATTTCGGACGACACAAACCACGTCTTCTCGCCCTGCGCCGACACCAAGGTTCAGTTGTCCGACGGCTACACCTTTGGGATCGTCTTCGCCTCTAGGAACGCCTTCTACAACAATGGAAACACTAGTGGAACCCAGTTGTCTCCCTGTGATAGCCGGCTCGGTCTCTCCGGCCAAAGCGCTCAGATCTCCGTCTTCAGGCCCAAAGTCGACGAGATCTCCATCCTCACCATCAATACCTCTTCCTTCTCTCCGGTGAGCTTTTCCCCTTACTTGTCTTGCTCAATCGTTTTCTCGATTCGGGTGGCTCGCAATTTTATTTTTTGGAAGCTTGCAGTTCTTTTACTCTGATGGATAGCGGTGCTTGAATTGCATTTGACCTGGATTGGACTTGTGGTCAAAATTGGGCTTAAAGAGAAATTTTTGGTGGCGGGTGATTAGGGTTATCATATGATCTTGTAGGATCATTTTGCTTCTAAGTTTGGTAATTTACGATTTGAGAAATGCTGCAATAGATAGGGATATCTCCGCATTAGATTTTGAGCTCTGAACTTATGCTCTCTACGCTTGATGGTGATGAAAAATGTATTAGAGTTTATTTCGAGGCAATGTGCAGGAATGGCTGTTATGGAATTGTGTAGCTTCGTAAGGTTATGGTCTAATTTGGGTGCCTCAATTTAATCAGAAAGTTAACAACTTTGGGACAATTCGAAGCATTTTTGTGCTTGAGAGCTTTGTTGGCTAACTTTATGTATTGGCGGAGCATAGGCTGTTACAACTATAATCATGGGCTGCTTCTAGGATATGGAGATTAACCAATTTGGATATGTTGCATCGACCTATGAGGCTTTTGCATTCTGCTATCTTCTGGTGCTGGGAGCTTAAATATCATTTTGTCTTTTGTCTCTAGGAGGAAGCTGAAGTAAGGCCAATAATGTACAGCCCTCGTTTTTCGAGGGAGCTTTGAGTTTAAAGTTTTCGTTTGCACTAATTAGCTCTGATGGAGGAACTGGAGTTGGAAATGAACTATGTGGACATCGTACTCTATGGGTGAAATCTCTTACTTTGCGTTTGCTTTGCTTTGTCGGACTTGAAATTGAGAACAAGGGAGATACGAAAGGGTTTGGGGGAAGGAAGGAGATCGGAGGAAAATGGAAACCGGATAAATATGTTGCAGTGCCACCCAATTTTGTTATATTTCTGCTTATTTCACTTAGAATTATAGGTTTGTGGTTAGTTGGTTATTGGAGAATTTGAATATCGCTTAGGCTCATTGTTTGTTTGGATATTATCCAGTGTCTTAGTTGGCCATCTCAGTAGCCCGGTGAAAGTAATCAATCTTTCACTACATGCTTTGACTATTAATTCATCTGCTTCCAGATGTATGTCATCTGTACAGTGGATTGAATGGTTCCCCCCCCCCCCCCCCCCCTCTCTCTAAATTTGTTCAGGACAACGTTGGTGGATACATGGTTGCATTTGGTGGCCGAAAATACGCTGCAAGGTCTCTACCCGCTTTTGTCGCAAATGGTACATACACTGTGACAAGCTTTACCCTGGTGAGTGAAGTCTTTTCTAAGTCTATTTTCTTTCTTCAATTTCATCTGACTTTGGGGTCTCTGATTTCTCGGCTTCCTTGCTTTTTCTCTGTGCCATCAAATGCAGGTACTCGAATTCCAGAAGGGTAGGCTGCAAAACTTGTACTGGAAAAGAGATGGTTGTGCTAAATGCGGTGGTCCAAGTGGGACGGGGATGGTCTGCCTGAACAATCAAGATTGTGCAATCAGAACTCCTAGCTGCAAGAACCATGGAGGTAACGTCGACTGCAGCATTGGGATCCAGCTAGCTTTCTCCGGCACAGACAAGCACTACTCAGCCCTCAACTCCTGGTACGAAGTGGAGAATTTGAGACAGTACTCCCTTTTCAAGCTCTACTCAAATCTCAGGGATTCTTTAACAAGCCAGTACGACTCCATCTTTAACTAGCCAGTCGATCGAAAACACCACGGGATCTTTCAATTCTTTTTTTGGGTGGGAAAATGAGTTTGCTTAATCTCTGTGTGGTTGTTTTCCATGTCTGTTGTAACGTGTTAAGAGTCCCAAGATGGTTCAGACTTGCAAAACTGTGTGGGTTGGAACTTGGATGTATGCTGCTACTTTCCTCTACTGTTACTGACAGTTCGTGTGTAAAGTACAGGGTCAATGACATGAATGGTCACTTACTTTTGGTTTTACTAACAGGATGATCCATCGCTTGATGGTGACTTGCGTAACGTTTACACAAACAGAATGACCAATTACTGACTAATGAAATAGTATTTTTAGTAGTATCCATATATACTCCCACCCAAATTGACACCTTAACATGTCACATCGTGTAAAACACAATATAAACAAAGACAAGTGGACTCTAATAGACTACCGTGTCACTCAACCAACATGGTGGTCAATATGCCGACTAGTACAATCGGGTTATTGGAAAAAAAATTGTTTGGAAGACCAATGATATGAAGCGGTAGTCGAAACCAAAAAAATTGTTAATATCAAGAAAGAGAGATCGACTGGAATAGTTAATTTTCGGTCTCTAAAGAGAATTACGATGTTTTAGTGGAATTGACTAACAAAAAAAAAAAAGAAATTTTGTCGGATTCATACATGAACATTTATATGTTGATGTTAGATATTGAATTCAAGTATAAACGTCTGGATGTTGGTGTTAAATGTTTCGATTTCTTTATATAATGAGAATTAGACTTTATTGCTAATTACTAAAAATTTCAAACAAAACATCTCATCCATCACAATTGTATGTATCTTGGAGAACAACTAAATTGTCTGTATAAATACATATGTGATACTTATATATATCAACCATCCATCACATCTCATTGTATCCGACTAAGGGCCAGGTCTTAATCTAGTTATTTGTAATGCTCAAACTATCTTGATTTCCAAGATCGTATGAAATTTAGCCAATTTTTTTTGTTTTGTCAATGAGAGTTCTCTCGATCATTCCTTTTCTCTCGTTGTCTCAAGAGAATATCCATATAAAGTGAACACAAAACTTGGCAAAATGAAATTCATTCAAGGCAACTGGAAATGAAACATGCATAACGAAAGCATAACAATACCCATCTCTTCAAAAACACAAAATTACCGAAGCAAAATTAAACCGCAAAGTCCCAACTTGTAGAATAAAAAACATGCAATCCGTTTGCTAGAATGGAAATTGGAAAGACAAAAACAATCCAGGGGCCACACCGCCGCCTTCAACCACTGTATTTAATGTCAATGGCCGCCGCTACCTCCTCCGCCGGGAAACAGCTCCATCTCACCACGACCACCGTCATGAGCAGGCGCCATCCCCGAACCCACATCATGATCACCATCCCTCCCAAGCTCCGGCTTCCTATCCTCCTGCTCCTCCCCTGCCACCTCTGCCCCATCCTGTGGAATAGGTTCGCCAAGCTGGATCCGCTTCCGAATCTCCTGGATCTTCTCCTGGATCAGCCAACCCAGGTAGCTGAGCTGGAACGGCTCCAACTTCTGAAGCCCTTTACCGTGATGAACCTGTTACGTACGACATAGATAAAGTCAAAGAAGTATTGAGTAAAATATTAATTCCCGATAGTATTTTTAATTTAAATTATTGGAAATTTTCTGCACATCATATAGGCTGACAAAAAAAAAACAAAAATGTATCGCACTCTTACTTTGGTCCAATTTAATACGTTTTAATTTGCATACAAATAATTTTAATACGTTTGTTAACGAAATTACATAGCTTGGTGAAGTACCTCGTCCATGAGCCACGACAACTCCATGTTCTGCAACTTTCGGAGCTCCTTGCGGTGGTTCTCCTGCGCCTTGAGAATGGCGTCAAGCAAGTATCCTTCCTGGTTGGTCATCTTCTTGCTCCGCTCGATCTCCGGCAACGACAGAAACCTCCTCAGCAACTGCTCCGCCACCTCATGCGACGGCCACACCGTTGGATGCTGTTCCCCAGGGCCGTAGATCAAGCACATCCCCTCCAACCCACACAGCGTCGTCAGCTCGCTGACGCTCTTCAATAGCCCCGGCCGCCTCTTTCGCAGGCTCGCCTTACGCGCAGCCTCATTCTCGATCCATGCCAACTTCACCTTCTTTCTCATGATCTCTCGGCTTCCTTTTATTTATTTATTTATTTATTTTGGTTTTCTATATCTCTTTGGTTGGGTGGGAGGGGTAGGATTTTATAGTGTGGGAGATATGAGTCAACTTAGTAAGAAGAGAATAATTGGTAACTGATTTTTTTTTTTTTTTTTGGGGTTGTTTAGGAGAACTTGGTAACTGAGGAAAATAATTATTTTTGGTAACTAAGGAAAGAGGGGGGAAATTTGTTTTGGATGCTATTAAGCAATTATGGGGGATGGGTTAGGGTGATTACTTGTTTTTTAGTAATCACGGTGGCAACCTCTTTATATACCATTTGATTAATTATTATTCCTTCTTTTTTAATCTTACGGTCAAGATTCTTTTAGGGTAATTTTGGAAATTAAAAAGTGACCACACCTGATTATTCTATATAATCTGCATAAACCCTAGTTCTATCCTCCCTCTAGCCAAACCCGTCGCAGCCGCCTCCACGTATCACTCCCGTCGCACCGCCGGCAACATCCCCGACCACCCTCGGCCACCGCCGGCAGCAGCCCCCGAACACCCTCGGTACCCTCTCTCTCTCTCTCTCTCTCTCTCTCTCTCTCTCTCTCTCTCTCTCTCTCTCTCTCTCTCTCTCTCCTACTGCTCTCTTTCTGATTCCCAACAGAGAATTTTTTTACAGCTTTGCTAGTGATTACGAAGTTTGTAGATTTGGGATTTGGTGGTTCAAATTCCCTCCCTCTCTAGTCTCTGCCGCTAATCTCGTATTCCATTTTCCAAAGCCTTACTCTCTGCTTCCTACTGGTCACAACCGAATCATTTTTACGCCCTCTTCTCCTAGATCGGAGCTCAACAAACCCCTTTCCTGTTGTTTATTGATTCAATGTGCAGTGGTATTGGTTACTATATGCAATGGTATAGATTGTTTATATTGGTAGTTTTCGTGTAATGGTATAGATTTATTTCTGCAATGGTATTGATTGTTTATATTGGTAGTTTTCGTTTAATGGTATAGATTTATTTCTACAATGGTATTGATTGTTTATGGTATTGATTGTTTATATTGGTAGTTTTCGTGTAATGGTATAGATTTATTTTTGCAATGGTAGTTTTCGTGTAATGGTATAGATTTATTTCTGCAATGGTATTGATGTTTTTCAAAGTGGTAGTGTTTGTCTAATGGATTGGTACTGATTTCGTGTTTTTTTTTTTTTTTTTGCAGAAAGATTGAGAAAAATATGGAAAGGAAATCTGGCTGGAGATTACGAAAGTGAGAGAAAGAGAGAATTTTAATTAATATATTTTTGTAACTACCTAAAATGTAATTTATTAAAAAATTAATTAATATAATTTATTTTTCTATACCCAATTTACCCTTAGTAACCACGGTGATTACTACTTTTATAGTAACCACCGTAACCTGTCCCCAATTATGGAATGTGACGGAACGAATTCAATCTTGGTGTGGAGATTCATACAAAGCAAAATAGTTAATTAGGAAAGTAAATCTTTGTTCACATATCATATCATGGTAAATTATTTAGAATGATGATTTTAATAGAATATGTTGCCAATTTATTTATTTATTTATTTATTGAATTTCATTATGTGGTATTCACGAATTTACAAACTCATCGAGCATTCAAACTATATTTTTTATTTAGTTTAAAATTGAAAAGACTCCTCCAACACTTACGGTTGCAACTAATAAAACTTTGATTCATGCGTAATTATACATATTTAGGATCCAAATTCACGTATCATGGTAAATTATTCCGAATAGATAATGTGTTGCCATAAAATTTTGTGATTTATTGAATTTCATTATCTAGTATGCACGAATTTACAAACTCATTGTGTATTCAAACTAATTTATGTTAGATGTATTTAAAAATAAAAAGACTCATCCAACACTTACAGTTGCAACTAATAAAACGGTGATACCAGTGTAATTATACATATTTATTATCCTAATACGTGGACGTTTCTAGATAATGTTGTGCCATAAAAGTTTTGTAATTTATTGAATTTCATTTTTGAGTATTCATGAATTTACAAACTCAACGTGTATTCAAACTATTTTTTGTTAGATGTATTTAAAACTGAAAAGACTCATCCAACACTTACCGTTGAAACTAATAAAACGGTGATACCTGTATAATTATACATATTTATTATCCTAATACATGGACGTTTCTAGATAATGTGTTGTTATAAAAGTTTTGTAATTTATTGCATTTCATTATCTAGTATTCATGAATTTACAAACTCATCATGTATCCAAATTAATTCTTTTTTGGGAAAATGGTTTTGGAAGCTATTAAACAATTCTGGAATGTTACAGAATAAATTCAATCTGGGTGAGGAGATTCATACAGAGCAAAATAGTTAATTATGAAAGGAAATATTTTTTCACATATCATATCATGGTAAATTATTTAGAATGATGATTCTAATAGAATATGTTGCCAATTTTTTTTTATGATTTATTGAATTTCATTATATAGTATTCACGAATTTACAAACTCATCGAGCATTAAAACTATTTTTTGTTTAGTTTAAAATTGAAAAGACTCCTTCAATACTTACGGTTGCAACTAGTAAAACTTTGATACATGCGTAATTATACATATTTAGTATCCAAATTCATGTATCATGGTAAATTATTCATAATGATGATTCTAATAGATAATGTGTTGCCATAAAAGTTTTTTTATTTATTGAATTTCATTATCTAGTATTCACAAATTTGTAAACTCAACGTGTATTCAAAATAATTTTTGTTAGATGTATTTAAAACTAAAAAGACTCATCCAACAGTTACGGTTGCAACTAATAAAACGGTGATACCTGTATCATTATACATATTTATTATCCTAATGCATGGACTTTTCTAGATAATGTGTTGTCATTAAAGTTTTGTTATTTATTGAATTTCATTATCTAGTATTCACGGATTTACAAACTCAACGTGTGTTCAAAATAATTTTTGTTAGGTGTATTTAAAAATGAGAAGATACATCTAACACTTACGATTGCAACTAATAAAACGATGATACATGTATGATTATACATATTTATTATCATAATACATGGATGTTTCTAGATAAAGTGTTGCCGTAAAAGTTTTGTTATTTATTGAATTTCATTATCTAGTATTCACGAATTTACTAACTCAATATGTATTCAAACTAATTTTTTAGATATATTTAAATCAGAAAATACTCATTCAACCCTTACAGTTGCAACTAATAAAACGGTGATACCTTTTTAATTACATATTTATTATCCTAATACATGGACGTTTCTAGATAATTTGTTGCCATAAAAGTTTTCTAATTTATTGAATTTCATTATCTAGTATTCATGAATTTACAAACTAATCATGTATTCAAATTATTATTTTTTTGGGGGGAAATGGTTTTGGATGCAAGAAATTATGGAATGTGACTGGACGAATTCAATCTGGGTGTGGAGATGCATACAGAGAAAATAAGTTAATTACGAAAGAAAATCTTTTTCACATATCATATCATGGTAAATTATTCAGAATGATGATTCTAATAGAATATGTTGCCAATGTCTTTTTTCTGTGATTTATTGAATTTCATTATGTAGTATTCACGAATTTACAAACTCATCGAGCATTCAAACTATTTTTTTTATTTAGTTTAAAATTGAAAAGACTCCTCCAACACTTACGGTTGCAACTAATAAAACTTTGATACATGCGTAATTATACATATTTAGTATCCAAATTCACGTATCATGGTTAATTATTCAAAATGATGATTCTAATAGATAATGTGTTGCCATAAAAGTTTTGTTATTTATTGAATTTCATTATCTAGTATTCATGAATTTACAAACTCAACATGTATTCAAACTAATTTTTTGTTAGATGTATTTAAAATTAACAGTAACAGAAAAATGACTAATATTTTGATACATTACAAAAAATTTGGCTAATAAAAAAGAATGTGGAAAAGATTTGGCTAATAATTAGTGTTTACCCAAAAAAATTATTTTATTTAAAACGGAAACACTCCTCCAACACTTATCATTGTAACTAATGAAATTGTGAGGCATGAGTAATTATACATATTTTGTCTCATAATACTTGGTCGAGTCTTGATCATATGGGTGTGAAACACCCTGATTTAAGCCAGTTTTATATTAGGTTGTATGTTTTTATCGTATTTCAGGTCCTAGTGTGAGATTGGAGGCCGAGAGCGAGAGTCGTGGTGATCATAGTTCAAAATGCGACAGGACGTGAAGTCGGAGTCTATATCACGGCATTGGAAGACATGTCACTCATTAAGCCGTGAGTTTCACCCCCAAGCCGTGAAGTAATGTTTCTAAAAGTTCTAGGGATGTTTTGCTATGTCATGAATTCTTTCACGGTTTCCACCTATGTCACCGATCAAGCCGTGACATATCTAAGTCATGGCATGAAGAGGGTTCGGCAAGTTAGTGAAAATGATGTGTTTTGTATGTCGTGACTTGAGTCACGACTATGACAAAGGGCGTGACACGCAAACTGCTAACTATAAAAAGATTTTAGTTGGCATTCAGAAGGAATCTAAGTTTTTTTATTATCTTCAAATCAAGCTAGAAGAGCCCTAGAGAAAGAAAGTGGCGAAGAGAGCACCCTTTGAGCTGATTTGAACCATCCTTCCACCATTGGAGCTTAAGTTTCGTCCATTGGATTGAAGATCAACCTTCCGGAGGATATTTTTATTGTCTACACGATGATGACTTCTTTTCACAGTGTTTTCCTCTCTTATTCTATTGAGTAAACTTCTCTTTCCCTTGGGTATAAAGAACCCTAGCCTTGTAGCTCGGATGATTTTGGTTTGAACCTTAGATTGTGCAATTTGAAATTATTTATTCAATTGGTGCATTTTTCATAAGTTGTATGAATATTGATCAAATTGTTATGAATCTTGCTTGACCTAGGATAGAGAATATATAAATAGGTTAAGAGAACATCTTCAATTGGAAGTGTTGAATC